GTGTGTGTGTGTGTGTGTGTGTGTGTGTGTGTGTGTGTGAGAGAGAGAGAGAGAGAGAGAGAGAGAGAGAAAGAGAGAGACAGAGAGAGAATGGGCGGATGGACAGTCGGTATTGGGATGGTGGTGGTATCTACTATTTGCGTTCTTGCCATTCCCTGTTCTCAATGATGAAGCCAACTCGTGGAGCTAGGAAGTCTGAGGTCTTGATCTTTGAAACGGCAGCGGTGGGCACGCGCAGGAATTCAGCGATGGGCATGGAGCGTTCGGCCCATGGTCTGCAAGTGCAGTGTGCTTTACATAGGGTCGATGGGTGGGATGGGGGACATACGTCGGCTACTCGCTGAGGTGGTGATCATAATGATGCGACGGAACGGCACATGGTCAATAAGAGAGTGGGGTCTCGGTGATTTGTGGACACAGCGGATTTGTTCTTTTCTGCTCCCCTGTTTCGCTGGCGGTTGTCGTTGCAGACGAGGCGGAGATATCTGCAACCTGTAGAATCGGTTCTTTCGATATTTCTATCACCTTGAGTCCGCCCACGTGGCAACCATTCATAATGCAATACGTGACTTGTATTACAGCTCAGCTAGGCTTCGCTGACAAGGCAATCATTTACTTTCTTTTTCTTTTCTCATCGCGTTGTCGGAGGCAGCGACGTCGTCGACGTTCCCCACATCCGTGTGGATTTCTCTCTCTCTTCTTCGGCATCTTGACGGCTGTCAGTGTGTGTTTGGTTACAGTCTTTCTCAGGGAAAATATCTCTGAGTCTCTCCGCCTTTTTGTCTGCCTGTTTCTGATGTGTTTTTTTTTTCTTTTCTTTCTCCCCTCCCCTCAATATTTGGGGTTGGGGACTGGAGCAGTGGAATGGACCCGAGTCCCTTTCAGCTGCTGCTTTGCGTCTTTTTGTTCGCTTACCGTGTATTTCTGTGCTTCTTGTATATTGGTACTACTTCGCGCTGTTGTTGCTGTGTACTTACATAGAGGCATAGGCACATATGTAGAAGAGACTGCGAAGCGGCAAGGCACGAGGCGGGAGAACGAATGGAGGACGGAAAAGGGAAAGTGGGAGGAGGAGGGAGAGTGGATGGAGGATGGTGGGAGGGCGGAATGCAGGTCGAGGCGGCCTGCATGTAGAAGAGACTGCGATATAGCGGGAGGGCGGACTGCACGTGTAGGCGGCCTGCATGTCGAAGAGACTGCGAAGCGGCAAGGCACGAGGCGGGATAACGAATGGAGGACGGGAGAGTGCAGGTGGGAGGAGGGAGAGTGCAGGTGGGAGGAGGGAGAGTGAAGGTGGGAGGACGGGAGAGTGAAGGTGGGAGGAGGGAGAGTGAAGGTGGGAGGAGGGAGAGTGAAGGTGGGAGGAGGGAGAGTGGAGGTGGGAGGAGGGAGAGTGGAGGGAGGATCTCGTCCGATATGGCGGGAGGGCGGAATGCACGTCTAGGCTGTCTGCTACTGCTGATCTGGAGTGAGAGAGAGTACATGGGATAAATACAGATTGAGATTGGATCGCAGCAGATTGAAGAAGAAGATGTGACGTCATTCTATGACTCACCCTGGATGACGTGTATTGGGCATCATTATCATGATCATGCTGTGCCGAGATGTGGGGTGTGCTGCTGTCGTTCTCCGTTTGCGCGCCATTGCCGTGCGTTTTGAGGTGTGGGATGTCAACGGGCACGCAGTTATATATGAGATAGATAGGTAGATGTCCAGGAGCACTGGGGATGTCAGCAGCCGGCATTACGGATGTTGTTTGGCTAGGAGACGGGATCCCGGTCGTTCAACCTGGATAGGGAGACGCCATCTCGGTGGCCGTTGCTGCCAAGCAGGGCGGCTGCTGGGGCTGAAGCACCGGCCAATCTCCTCCTGCCTAAATAACCCCCCAGGGCTTTTGAGGACCTGCTCGGTCTTACCGAGAGCAAGTGCATCTTCTTCTACAGGTGCCTTTTGACGTTCCCCACCTCGGAGAGAGAGAGAGAGAGAGAGAGAGAGAGAGAGAGAGAGAGAGAGAGAGAGAGAGAGAGAGAGAGAGAGAGAGAATGTCCTTTGGACAGTGGAAGAGCGGAGGAGCTGCTGTTATTTGGGTGTGATTCGGGGATTTGTCTTTTTTCCAAAAAAACTTGGGCTACTAGAACTGCGAGTGACCTTTCGTCGTTGCATTGCTCGCCAACGAAACACAGACAGTTCGATGAAACAGTCTGTCACAGCCATGCGGTTTTTCTGGAGTTGTGAACAGCTTACATGTGTGTTTGTGTGTGTGTGTGTTGTATGTGTGTGTGTGTGTGAGAGAGAGAGAGAGATGCGGTTTTTCTGGAGTTGTGAACAGCTTACATGTGTGTTTGTGTGTGTGTGTGTGTTGTGTGTGTTGTGTGTGTGTGTGTGTGTGTGTGTGTGTGTGTGTGTGT